ACAGCCCGGAAGACCCACACCAGCCATCGTATGCCGGCCATGAAAGCCTTCGACAATACCATGTGATTTGCTTAACAACCACATGATTTGCTTAACAACCACGGTGATTCACTTAACAACCATAGTAAAAAGGTCACAAATCGCGATGATGTGAACACAGGGGGGTGAGACGGTTTGCAACAGTCGTAAGTACAAGTACATATTGTAAAGCGCTTTTTCTGAGGCTATCGTAACTTTGAACTGTTGTTAAATGAATGGTCTGTTGTTAAATGAATGGACTATCTGTAACAACTTACTGTGATTGTTTCTTGACTTTCTTCCAGGAACATTGGTAATAATGATAAAAGAATAATAATAATGATGATAAAAAATAATAATAATATAAAATAATTATAAAATAATAATTATAAAATAATAATAATAATAAATTTATTAACTTTCTATGCCGCCTGACACCCAGCAGCTCTGGGCAGTTTGCAGTTGTTAAAACATTTAAAAACCAAAGAACGATATGGAAAACATAAAAATAGTAGAAGACAAAGGGGCAAAGATGGCAGAGGGAAACACATCAGTTGTCCTCTCCAAAGGTCTGGGCAAAGAGCCAGGTCTTTAAGGCCCTTCGAAATCCCAATTGGGTGGGAGCTGTTCAAATTTTGGGGGGAACCTCATTCTAGAGAGCAGATGCTGCTGTAGAGAAGGTGTGCTTCCAGTGTCCCAATAGGTGGCATTGTTTAATCAATGGAACCCAGAGTGTGCCAACCCTGCCAGATTGAACTGGTCAGGCAAATACTATGGGAGACAGGTGGCCCCTCAAGTAACCAGGCCCTATGCCACGTAAGGCTTTATAGGTAGCAGCCAGCACTTTGAATCGCACCTGGAAGCAAACTGGCAACCAGTGCAACTCGTGAAGCAGGGGTATTACATGGGCATATCAAGGCATGCTCATCACTGCTTGTGCCACTGCATTCTGGACCAGTTGAAGTTTCCGGGTGGTCTTTAAAGGCAGCCTCATGTAGAGCATATGGCAGTAGTCAACCTGTGAGGTGACCAGGGCGTGGGTGACTGTCTGAAGGCCCCCTGATGAAGGAAAGGGCACAACTGGTACACCAGATGAAGCTGGCAAAAGCCTTCCTGGCCACAGCTGCTACCTGCTCATTGAGCAGGAGCTGTGAATCTAGGAAGACCCCCAAATTGTGCACCATCCTTGAATGGGGAAGTGCAACCCCATCCAAGGTTAAAGGTGGAACATCCCCAGTTCTGAGCAGTCCAAACACCCACAGCCACTCTTGGTGGGATTGAGCCAGGGACGGTTCCTCCCCATCCAGACCCACACAGCCTCCAGGCACTGGGACAGAGCTTGAACAGCCTCACTTGACCGGCCTGCAGTCAAAAGATACAATTGGGTATCATCAGTGTACTGATGATACTGAACTCCAAACTGGTGGATGACCTCACCCAGTGGTTTTATGTAGATGTTGAAAAGGAGGGGAGAAGGAATAGAACACTGTGGTACCCCACAAGTCTCTCCCCATCAACCAACACCAATTGGAATCAGACCCAGAGAAAGGAAGAGAACCACCGTAAAACAGTGCCCCCAATCCCCAACCCACAGAGCCAGCTCAGAAGGATACCATGGTTGACAGTATTGAAAGCTACTGAGAGATCAAGGAGCACAAGGATGGATGCACCATTCCGGCTCCGCTACAGGTCATCAGCAAACATGACCAAAGCTGTCTCAGTACTAAATCCCGGCCTGAAACCTGACTGAAATGAGTCTAGATAATCTGTTTCCTTCAGGGTTCTTCTCAGCTGCAGACTGACCACCTTCTCAACAACCTTCCCCGAGAAGGGAAGGTTGGAGACTGGTCAACAGTTATCAAAAACTGTTGGGTCCAAGGATGGCCTCTTGAGGAGGGAGCACACCATGCCTCTTTCAAGGCTGGAGGCATCACCCCCTCTGTCAAAGAGGCTGACATTACTGCAAGGACCCAACTGCGGGTCATCTCCCTGGCTGCTTTCACAACCCGGGAGGGACCCAATTCAGTAAACAGGTGGCCGAGCTGACAGCAGAAGGAGCCCTGTCCACTTCCTCAGGAGTCACTGGCTTAAACTCATCCCAGATCATACCACCAGACCATACCCCAGGCACCTCAGCCTGCTCTGCCCAGTCAGAGTCCAAGATAGAGTGAATCTGAGTGACTTTATCCACCAGATAGCGGGAATAATCTTCACATCAGCCCAGCAGATGGTTGGGGGGGGGCTCTGCCTACCCAATAGGGAATGGGTCACCCTAAACAGGGCCACTGGATAGCTATCAGCAGATGCAGTAAGGGCAGAGAAATATTGATGTTTCGCCACCCTTATTGCCATGAGGTAATCGTTAATGTGGGCTCTTACCCATGCCCAGTCAGAGCCCCTTTGAGTCTTCCTCCAACAGCACTTTCTTCTGGTGTTCCATGTCCTGGAGCTGCTCATTAAACCACACTGCACCCCAGGATCGGCACATGGGGAGAGGCTGCATAGGAGTGATGCAATCCAAGGCCCCAGCCATGTCCATTCCAAGCAGTGACTAGGGCCTCAGCTGAATCGCCTACCAAATCCTCAGGGAAAACCCCAGGCTCTCCCTGGAACTTCACAGGGTCCATCAATCACCTGGGGTGGGCTGATCGAACAAGCCCTGTCTCCCTACAGGGAGGGGTGACACCAGTGAGCCAAAAGGCAACTAGGGAGTGATCTGTCCACAGCAATGGACTGATATTAATGTCCTCCACTGCCAGATCACATCTCAACCACCTCAACACAAAAAACAGATCTAATGTGCGGCCTCCAGGCCATTGGTGACTTGGGACAGGTTCATGGTTGCCATGGAGGCCACAAACTCCTGAGCCGCCCTGGGCTCAGTATCACTGGGTGGCAAGTTGAAATCCCCCAAAACCACAACCTTGGGGATTTTATTGCCAGCCCAGCAAGAGAATTCAGCATGTATTGTTGAAGGCTTTCACGGTTGGCATACGATGGCTGGTGTGGGTCTTCCGGGCTGTGTGGCCGTGTTCTGGAAGTTTTGTTTTCTAATGTTTTGCCAGCATCTGTGACCGGCATCTTCAGAGTGCA